AATTGTCTAGAAAGGAGGCCTGATTGGAGAGATTTTATGAGAGATGATGTTCTCTCTCTATCTTTTATTTTCTGTATGCTGTATTTTAATTTAGGTTCATTGAGTTATTGTCCTTGAAGGGTTGCTTGTTCTTCATTTTCTCATTGATAAAATTGTTTTTATGTACCAGAAAGAGGGAAAAAATCCCAAGAAGTATGAAATCATTGCATTCCCATGGTTTTGCAGGTTGTCTCGCAAGGAGCCATTAGTGCACCAATGTACTCAGTCAAGGGCCCATCAATGATTCAGTCCCTCTATCCTACTGCATTTCCCTTGAAGCATCAACAAAAGGTGTGTTAAGTTGCCCTCACTGCCTTACGCTATATCATTAACCCCCTGACCTAATTGTACAACGTTCATAAATGCTTGTAGGACCTAAGGCTTGCTCTGGGATTAGCAGAATCTGTTTCCCAATCCACGCCAATCGCAGCGGCTGCAAATGAACTATACAAGGTAGCAAAATCACATGGGCTCAGCGACGAGGACTTTTCAGCTGTCATTGAAGCGTTGAAACCAAAGTTGCAGCAATAGGCAAAGTAGTTGATAGTCAATTTTTTCATGAAAGTAACTATCAAAGTGAAATCATATCTTACACATTTCTCAATTGTTTTGTGCTTCGTTCTTTTATTTTCAATGATTAAGGGCATGTAGGGAAGAGTCCAATGAAAATGATCAATTCTGTGGCGCCTCAGCCCTGTATAGAAAGTTGGATATTCTCTTGCTTTTTGCTCTTTACAGGTATCCCAGGCCAGCTATTCTTGTGATCTTCAACTTGGTAGTTCAGTGTGATGATACTTATTTGACCACAAAGGAAGGAAAGTGATGGAAATCCATGTACAGGTGTATATAACGCTCCCCTCTTCTCACAACTCACCTCGAGAGGAGCATTGTATATACCCGTTATATGCCAGAAAATATTTCCAATTTTTGGCTATGGGAATGGCTTTTATGGAGAGTAACACATCATTCTCTTAAAAGCCTATGCATAAGTGGAAAAATTGTTATGTGACATTGACATTATGCTGACATGTCACGTGATGCTCCGAATCCACTCAC